GATGGTGAGTCTTCTATTCTTCCACTTTCGCCTCTCCGTCGTTGCATTGTTTTCGAGTAGTGACAATGTGCACGAGCAAGCGCGGGTAGGGCATCATCATGACCCTAGCCTAGCCATCATCACGCATTTAATGCAGCATAGGGCTCGAGGCACACGTGGCATCTCCACTCTTCAGATCCCATCAATCGTTGGGCTCCCTGGATCCCAAGCTCCCCGACGACGACATTTCTGGCGTTCGGGCAAGTATTCATCCGAGCACAAGGAAGCTCACAGCTACTATTCCCGGGAAGCAGACCATCCTTAAGTCATCGTTACTCTGCCCGGTAGCAACGACTTGGGGGCTACTGTTTCGGACTTGCCCAATGGCTGGACATGGCCCAATCCGCTTCTGCTTCTAGAACGGCCAGATTGCCCAGGTCCAACCTCTTTGGAGGAAAATTTACCTTTCTTCCCCTCTAACAGAGGAGGCTGACCTATTTACCCTTGATCACAACATTTCTCCCCGTTAGCCTCTGTCCGTCACGCACAGTTCCACAATCTAGAAACAACCAAGACGCTCGTGCCCGTAACTATACCTCTGTCCATCCCAACATCTAGTTATGGGCATGTCTGCCCGTCCCAACGACTATTTATGGCAGTTATCTATTCTTCGGGAAACAGTTATCTCGCCACGAAAATAGGGACCAATAGACAAGCACTGGGGGCTTTATAAAAACCCTCTCATTTGAGAAGATCAGATATCTAATTTCTTACCTTGAAACACACATATTTTGTAATTGCTCGCTCTCTTGCTCGTTTTCTTACTTTACCATCGGAGTGCCTTGCAAGTACACCCCCTCCTCTTTCACACCCAACATCATAAACGTTTGTCATTGGCGCATCTCGGATTCTTATCGTTCAGTAAGATCAATAAAATATTGTGATTCTTTTTTTTCTTTCATTTTTTAATTTAAATATTTAAATATTATATTTTGGTAACTCCTATTACACCACATGTCAAAATATTATTAATATTTATCTATATTTAATGTTCGAGACAAATATAATTATTTCAAGTTGATATATTGAAAAAATAAAATTCATTGGATATAAATATTTATATCATTGAACTAATTTTATAGAAAAACCGTTTTAAGTAAATTGTAGGAGAAGATAGTAATATTAATTGAGGAGTGCATATATTAGGTTTCCAAACTTTTTATAAATAAATGAAAAGAATATGCTAACAACTTACGTATAATGCAACAAGAATATACACGTCTCACATATAAAAATATTTTATTTTATATTTTTTAAAATGAATTTGATCTAAACTTTATGCAGAATACATTTGATATTGTATTTTTATTAAAATTGTATAACATAGAGTAAACTATAAAAAAAATAAACAAAAAAATGAAGAGAAGAATTTATTAAATAAACTATAAATATTTAAATAAGAGAAAATGAGATATGCACTGTACGTATAAAATAATTTTACACGGTCAACTAATCACCATTATGTGCTCCATCATATCTGACTTTAAATTTTAAGTTAATGGTATGACATGACAGATTAATGAATTTCTATTGGATGACAGTGTAAAATTATTTTACATTTTCAGTGGATACCAATTAAACTCTTTACATAAAACATAAAATAAATATTATGTGTATAAGTTGAAATTAAAATTATGATTATATTTGTACTTGTCAAAAAGTACAAACGTGCATGATATTTCTACAATGGTAGGGGTTACTCAGAGATCTTGGTAGGTTTATAACACTTTAGAGTAGTTAAGGCTTGCCTACATTGGCGAGAAGTTTTGTATGGTGATATTATGGTGGTTTTGGAGGACCTTAGGGCTGGAAATGAGTCGAGTCGAGTCGAACTCACCTCAGCTCGACTCGACTCGTTAAGAATTTTTCGAGTTCGAGTTCGAGTTCGAGTTCAACACGAACTTTTTTTTAAGCTCAAACTCGACTCGTTAAGAATTGTTTCGAGTTCGAGTTCGAGTTCGAGTTCAACACGAACTTTTTTTAAAGCTCAAACTCGACTTGTTATAAGTTCACGAATAGTTTGGTTCAACTCATTAGGATCAGCTCACATGATTCACGGGCTTAAAAACTATTTTTTTTAAATATATATATTTTTTAGTATATTTGACATTTTAAATATATATTTTTTAAAAATAAAATATTAAAATAAAATAAAAATTATCATATTGAAATTTAACTTTATCTTCGAAATCTACTAATTCAAAACTTACACAACTTTCAAGAGATACATTTGAGAGTCTAATTCAAAAACTACTAAGTTGAAGATTAAATTTGTCTAAGATTTAGATTAAATATTTAAACCTAATCTTCAAGACAGTATAATTATTCTCATATGTAATCGAGTTGACTCATGAACCTAACGAGTCGAACTATGTAGAGTTCAAGTTCAGCTCATTTAGTTAACGAACTTAATTTTTCGCTCATACTCAACTCATTAGGTTCATGAACCTAGTTCAACGATCTAATTGTCGAATCGAATTTCGAACTATTTTCGAGTTGGTTCGGTTCATTGCCAGCCCTAGAGGACCTACTCATGTGAGGTGAGAGACTCTATATATCAGCGTAGTGTTTTGGCTATTATTCGTCAATTGTGATATTTCTTTCTCCCGTTAGGAAAGAAGTAATTATAAAGGCCTTGGGTCTAGGGTTTTCTTGGGAAGGAACCATTCACTCAATCAATTATGGATCGTCGAAACCATATTTCATAGGGAGACATTGACTAACTATTGACCTTGACTTTTCTCTGCCAAGAAATGTTTTTTTTCTATGGTTCCCATATCTAGGCGAGAGGAAGGTACTAAGAGCAAAGCGATACCTCCTTGAAAGCCACATATAGTCATCGTCTTTATTGGAGGAGGCACATTCCCGCACTTTTCATGTATTTTACAAATACAACACTACACAGTCCCTCAAGTACGAGGACTTTGATAAAGAATGAAGTGTTTTTAGACCAAAGTAATTTCAATTCCCTTTCAATCTTGGTTTGTATATATTGCAATGCTTAATTCAAGTTCAACATAATGTGTTGATTTATTTCGATTGATATGTTTTCTTTAACTATAATCGTGTTTAGCATATCTTTTTCATTAATTTGCGCAATCTTAAACTGTTTGCTTAATTCGAAAAATAGAGACATAAATCATATAGTATCAATTGCACTTTTTTGATTGATATTGTAATCGAAAAAGGAATAGAATCTACTTAGGAGTTTAGAATTATAATACTCGATGATAAGTTAGAAATCGAAACAAGAACAAGGAGATTACCAGAGAATGCACAACCACTTATCCAATAGTGCCATTTCAGATCAAACTCAAACCTAAAAAGCATATAATCCAAAAATCCCCAACCGGCAGAATCATACGTGTTAGAACACAAATTGGTTCTTAATAATAACTCTTTGTTTTGATGATAACTGTTAGGAAATTTTATATTTAAGAATTATATACTCTAAAATTTGTTTGAGAGTTTTACTGCAGATTGAAATGAAATTAACTCTCTAGAAGCAAATATGAAGTATTTACAAGAAGTTATCCTGACTCTGAAGCGCCAGATGCATCTTACAGAAGATTCTGACTGCTCTTTACAGAAGATCCTGAGCGTAGTCTCCAGAAGGATCTGAAGCAAGAAGCTCCAAAACATTCTGAGTCAGAAGCATCTGAAGCTAGTTAGAAGCATCTGAAGCTGAAGCATCTGAAGCAAAGAAGAATATTGTTTGAAGAGTTTCTCAAAGCATAATTCTACAGAAGTTTCTGAAAGTACTAACGCTGCCAAGTACTGAAGTTCTGTGTCAAATATGCTCTGATGATCAACACGCTGAAAGCACACATGCTGCAGAAGACTCTGATACAGCAAAGTTCTGAATATCATTAGAAGACTCTGATCCATTCAGACTCTGAAGAACTTGCTGAAAACTGAAGAAGAAATATTCAAGAATATATCCGTTGGAGTAAATCAACGTCTCTTTCCTCATTTGTGCTAGACACAATTTACACAGACAAAAAGGATTTTTCTGTGTTATCTACTTCAAGGAAAGGTCACTTGATGTGAAGAAAAAAAGGCTCAGACCTTTTTGGGTCTCTCTTTTCAACGCTCAGCATCCTTGGATCAGCTGCCTATAAAAGGAGAACTCCACCATATTCTTCAGTTACACAATTTGCTGAAAAGAAATCATATCATTCTAAGCTCTCATTCTTTCATATTCTTCTTAGAATTTCTTGTACTTAAACTTAAGAGAAAAAATCACTGTTGTGATAAAAGCTTTATAGAAGCATTAATACTCTTGTATTTAATTTACATTGATTGTAAAGGTTTTTCCTTAAGAGGATTCAGTTGGAATCAGTAGCTCTTGAGAAGACTAAGAACAGTTGTTCCTAGGTGTTACTATTGTAATCAGTTTGATTTAATAGTGGATTAAGTCCTTGTTGAGAAAGGCAAATCACTCTAGGAAGGGTGGACTGGAGTAGTTGTTTAAACGAACCAGGATAAAAATAATTATGTGATTATTTTTTAAGTCTTAATCTTTCATACTTATTCAACCCCCTTCTAAGTATTATCTCACCTTCAATACGCCTTTTCAAAATCAACCTTAAAAATGAGACTGTCTATCTTAAATTTTTTAACAAGATCCACAACTTCATTAACAAACACAATCTCATCCTCCAACATACTACCTTTAATGAAAGTGTATTGATTCGTAGTGATCAAATATTTCATCACCTTAACCAATTTAAAAGCTAAAATGGTTGACTTTCTCAAAATTTAATTTCAAATATATAACACTTAACATAAATTTACAAGTATTGATTACATTTATTTTATATTTTGTTTACCCAAAGTAAAGTATTTAACAATCTCTATATAGATTCATCACTTATTTCTTATTCATGTTTTGCATAATTTCAACCATCTACATTAAAGTACATTTCATAACTTTTTGCAAAATGCATATATGAAGAAAATTAACTTATAGTTGCACAATGGAGTGCGAAACGGAATTTTTTGAAACTAAATGATTTCCAGCTACAATTTCTTCTCTTTGATCCTGCTTTTTCTTCTGTCTTTGTTGATGATGCTTGATTCTCAGATAGCAGAAACTTTCTTGTTTTAAAACTTCCTATGGGTTCAGATGGATTAAGAGCTGCTCCTAAAACAAAAATAATTCTTTAAGCACTTATTTAACTAACATCTTTACACACTTATATTTCAACATTATAAATTAAAAACCATACTATGTGTAAATCTAACTAACTATTAGACTAATTGATAATAACAAATATAAAGTGAAAGGAAAGAATTATATAAAAATATTGTATAACATCTTTTTTAAAAGTCTAAATATATTGTTTCTACATGTTTCGAAACTTACTTACCGTGTAAGAAAATATTAACCCAAAAAAAAAAAAAAAATCAAATGTATTTAATACAAATTTTGGACCAAACACATTTAACAAAAATAATAAATGTAAACTTGTTGGTATTTCTTTTTGAAGTTAAAAATCTACTGAGAAATAATGAGAATCAAATCCTAACCCATAAAAGAAAATATAAAGTAAAATAAACTAATTTTTTCTTCAATAATTATTATTAGGTAAGAATTGAGTTTGAACATGAATTTTCTAAAAAATAAAATAATTTAATCTAAAGAGTAAAAAAATTTATGAAAATAAAATGACACATATTTTTAAATTTTCAATTTGTTCTCATTATTTTTTATTTAATTTTACATTTCACACTCTTTGTAATAAAATATAAATAAAAATAAAATATCAAATGTATTTGGTATAAAATTTAGATTTTATATATATATATATATATATATATATATATATATATATATATATATATATATATATATATATATATATATATATATATATATATATATATATATATATATATATATATATATATATATATATATATATATATATATATATATATATAAACTCACTTTTTTTATTTTTTAATTCATAAAATAATTATTTTGGTTGATTTCATAAAATAAGTAAAGAAAATGCTTAAACATGCCTTCTTTTTTTTATGAAGCTTATTTATTGAAAATAAAAATATATTACAACCAAAAAGATTAAAGAACCCCTATCAAATTAAAAATAATTTAAAGAAAGGTATATTCAACTTATTTTTTATAAAATTAGCTCTAATTTCAATAAGTATATTTAACTTATGCTTTTTAAAATAACTTCAAAAAACTCTTTTTTTTAAAAATCAAAATGTTAATATAAGAAAAAAAGTAATAGATTAGATTAATCATACATAATTTAACATAGAAAAAACATTTGCATCTAAACAAATACAGTAAATAATAACCACAAACAAATATCAAAATTTAAAAAAAAAAAAAAAAAAACAGACACAAAAGTAAAGTATTGAATCATTTTCTTTAATAACAAAAATAATAATGCACAAAAGTAATTACCATATCATAACATCTTACCATCAAGAACACCATTTGAGCAATGCAAAACATAATCAGATACATCAGATTTCAAAGCAGGCAATCTTCCTTGACTTGCATAAAATTTGAGAGCTTTGTCAATAACATCACAAACAATATCATTCTTATTAACCACTATTTTTAATGGCCCAGAACTACCAACAATGTTGATTGATATCAAGATCCTATTAATATTGATGTTGTTCTTCTTCTTCTTCTTACTTTTCATCTCATCATCAACACTCCAACTTTTGCCCTTGTAAAATGCTATTTTCTCAAACTTTCGTAATTTCTTAGTCATATTTCGACGTTTCGTGCGTGACACAGGAAAAATGAAAATCATGATTTCAATGTGATTATCTCTGGAGGTGAAAAGAAGTAAAAAAAAAAAAAATTTAATACATGAGAGCTTTTCTGACCTAATCTCTCTTTTTATAAGATAATATGATTCTTTGTATTTAATTTTTTAATTTTTTAATTTAGTTATTTGACTTTTTCAATATTATTTTTTTGTAACTTCTATAACACCAAAAAATAGGTCAAAAAAATTATCATTATTTTATATTTAATTTTATATTTAAGTTAATATAATAAAAAAGAAAATTCATTAAATATGAATATTTATATTATTGAATTAATTTTATAGAAAAGTCGTTTTAAGTAAATTGTAGGAGGAAATGGTAATTATAAATTGAGGAGTGTTATTGGGAAAGAACTTGTCAATTTGCTAATAATGGGCGTATAGTGCAACAAGCATATACACATGTCACGTATAAAAACATTTTATTTTTTATCTTTTAAATATGAATTGAATCTAAACTTTATATCAAATACATTTGAGATTTTATTTTTTATATATATTTTATTATGTAGAGTAAACTGTAAAAAAAATTTAAAAATGAGGAAAATTTTTTATTAAATAAACTATAGTTATTTACATAAAATACAAAATAAATCGTATTTGTACAAGTTGAAATTAAAATTCTGACTATATAAATAAAAAATTAAAGAATACATATTTAGAATAATTAAACTGAGCACATATAAGTATACAAATAGTTGCAGTTGTTTGTGTTTTCTTTGTGGTCCCACTTGCTTTCTTGTTTAACGAATAGTCTCAATGTCAAAAAATATATGAAATTAATTGAAAGAGAAATGTTGATTATATGTTATATATTTAGTTAGAGAGTTTGATTAAAAATGGGGTTTATAAGAACATTAAGTGTATGTGTATGTGGTACTATAACCATAGGTTTAGTTTTTCTTGTAGTCTTATAGCCTTGAATAATGATGTTGATGTTTTTCAGTTTAATAAAGATGTGAATGAGTTAATATAATTATATGTATAGCATATTATGGACAATCTTGAGGTTATAAGAAAATGAGTTAGGACGGGGGATGGAGATTGCACTCTTATACTAACAATTAGCATCAAAGTAGGTTAAGATAAATTGTCCCTCAATCTGTAAGGTATGACTTCCCATAATCTTATTTTTGTATATGCTGGCAACAACAACAATCCTTTATGTTTTGTTGGTAAATATTATGACTTCTAGAAAATTAGCATGCAAATATATTTACACTAGTGCAGAAATGATTTTTTACATCGGGCGAAATTGACTTTTTACATCGGGTCTTAGTCCGATGTAAAGTCAAACGATGTAGTAAATACCCACATTTTACATCGGTTATGTGGTCTTATGTAAGAAATACACCAATCACATCAGTTCAATTTTTAAGTCTGATGTGGAAAAAAAATTATAATTCCAAATTTTAATTATAAAAGGGGTTTTTTACATCGGTTGCAAGGACAAACCGATGTAAAAGGTGGGTATTTTACATCGGTTTCGTGCCAAAACCGATGTAAAAAGTACTGTAAGAAGAAAAAAATTCATGCTGACACTTTTTACATCGGTTGGATGATTCACCCGATGTGAAAAGTACTGTAGGAAAAGAATTTGCTGACACTTTTTACATCGGTTCTGTGTTTAAACCGATTTAAAAGGCAGTTTTTTACATCGGTTTTTTCCTTCGCCCGATGTAAAAAGTACTGTTACGAGTATAAATTATTTTCCTATTTTTTAGTCGTTCCCTGTAACTTTTTTGTACCTAATTTTTCATATTTTTCCAACATTACACAGACCATAATTAGGTCGCTATTTTCCATACTCCACATCATATAGACCACATTTAGGTCGCTATTTTCATAGTTTTGCAACATCACATAGACCATATTTAGGTCATTATTTTCATATTTTTCTCATAAATCTAATTTGATTGCACCAAATATCTAGTATACACATAATTGATTCACAAAAGGATATACACAAATGTACTAACAACAAAAAGGTCGGTTAACCTTTATAAACAAGTGTGCTAACAACAAAAAGCTACACAAATGTACTACAACAATAAAAAGATTAACCTTTATATAATTCAAAGAAACATGTTGCCCAACGGAGTCGCAAATCATGCAAATCATCGGGCGATAGGTTCGTTGGGTCATCAAATACCTACAACACGTAAGTAAAAATAGAGTTATTCTTTGAAAATTCACATATTAAGTTGCAAAACGTAAATTAAATAACAAATTAAAGTCATTTTTATTACCTTCATCCAAGAGTTGGTTATATTGGCAGAGACAATATCCAACATATTTTTCATCACATAATACCCACAATCATTAGAGTTAGGTTGTTTCCTTATCTACAAATGAATGACATAATTAGTGAATACTTATATGATAAAATTAAATATCTAATTATAATTTACACCACGCTTACATTGGGTCGAAGCCATGTAGCCTTATTTCTATTCCCATTTGCCGCTTGATGAACCCCAAAAGCACTAATTCAGAAGAAAAAAAATTCATATAAAGCAACATAATATATGATACTACTTTTGTAACAAATTATGTATATAGGATGAAGTGAAAATAAAAGATAAATTTACCTTGTAACAATTTTTGTCATGGTTTGATTAAGTTCATGATGAAGGGAACAAAAGACGACCACCGTATTATCATTTGGACACATTGTTGCACCCCAAAATTTGCCCTCACAATACAAGACTTTGTGTTCTAAGAAGGTTCACAAGGTTCACAAGTTCTCCAACAACTTGCATAACCTTTCATGAAGTTCATAAAGTCCACAAGCTACTTTATGAAGGTTCACAAGGTTCACAAGTCCCACAGTGCTTTCAATACCTTTCATGAGGTTCATGAAGTCCGTAGGTTGCTTCTTGAAGGTTCACAAGCTTCACCATACCTCCCATGAGTATCACAAGATATCTTATGAAGATTCACAAGGTTCACAAAGTTCACAATTGGTCAGAAGAGTTGACAATTCCCTCAGACAATGCACCTCCTAAGCAGTGCATCCAAAACTAGGGTTTTGACTTTAATCAGGCTAAATGGACTTCCAAGACTTCAAGTGAGCTTCGTAACATCTTATATGTGTATAAGAACCCCCATGTCAAGTTTCAAGACTTTTCTCAAAAATTTGCTCAGTCAGATGATCAGATAAGTCAAAAGCAGTCAATGCAGTTAAAAAGTCAAACTGAGGTCAACTGTGGTCAAACCAAAGTCAAACTTCATGATTTTTTTTTGCCAACATCAAAGAGGGATTTGGTCCCAGGGGTATTTTGGTCATTTTACACAAATTCCTTGAAGACGGGCTGTTATTAAAATTCTGAGGCATTTGATACGTATGGGTTTCGAGGCATTTATCTATCACCAGTTCTGATCATATTGAGATTTTAGCGGTTTGGTCAGTGGAATTTAATTACGATTAGTTTTACTGTTGATGCTGAAAATGTTGTGATTACGGTGCCCATAGGTGTTTGGTTATGAAATGGTTGGTTAACATTTTAATCGGATGATGAGATTAGGATTACAAATGAGACGAGTGCACCAATAAGAATACCACTTGGGAATATTTATGTTTTATGCCTATGTTAACGAATTTAAATACTTGTGGATTTATTCACAATTGTTTATATTTTTTAACTAAGAATAAAATATAAATAAATTCAAAGTGTTGGGAATTTTATTTCATAAAGATTGCATTATACAAAAGGGAGATTGTTTCACATTTTTGCTGCTACAAGGAATTACATTAAATCTAAAAATCCTAAGTCCTAAAAATGCTAAGTGTCTTCATGTTGGCCCTTGAGCTTCGCCGCAAATCTCGACTAACCTGCACATCAAAGCAAAACAAACAATATAGAAAAAGGTTAGGAGTTTTTTGACACTCTCAGAACAATGTCATCATCGAGTGCCGGGAGTGGCACAACCGAAGCTGCGTCCTACCCCCGTTACCGATCCGCGCCGTGGGCGTCAGATCAGGTAATACCCGTTCTTATCGTTACGGGACAACCGAGAAAGAGAGAGATAAAAGAAGTTTTGGGCCGAAATGATTTGCCGAAAGGTGATTCTATGCTGAAAAATGATTATCAAGCCAAACAGATTTTGTTCTAAATCCAATATAACAGCACTATCAAGTAAATATGTAGCTTTTTGATGCTCATAGCCGAGGTAATTGGAAACACAAAACTGAACAAGTGAATGCACACCAGTAGAACAGCAAGAAATCAAAGCCAACATGTGGGCTTAGTCGAAGAACAACATCACAACCCTGTCATCATACAACATAATCAGTTTGCGAATCCAAAGCATCACAGCCCCAAGCACCAAGGCTGAATCAGAGCTGAACTGCATCAGGCGACTGGTGTATCAGTAAAAAACATATCAGCATCGAGACAAGAATGATCCCACTAGAGTCAGAAAACCATATCAGAACTACATCAAAAGAAAAAGAACTCGGTCCATCGATATCAGAAGCAGCAAGGAGACTAAACCGAATTCGAATTAAGGGCCAAGCAATATCGAATCCTACATCTGCAAAAGGGACCAAAGCAGAGCTACATCAGAAAAAACAGGGCAAACAACCCCGAGGCTCAGATTATAACATCATCATCACCTTCATCAGCACTAAACTCTCACCTGTCAAAAAGAAAAACAAAAACAAAAACAATCAGTAACAGGACGCGAGTTCATACGTAATTCGAAGCAAATAGCAAAATTACAAAGAGATTTGAAGTCATATCAGCCCTCAGTTTAATCATCATCGGGCGTGAAGTTCGAGCGGCCAGGAGAGCCACGGCCGGGACCGTTACCAACTCCCTACCGAACATCGAATTATGAGCATACGGTGATTTCGCACGGACTATCAGCTCAAGCACAAAATGTCAGCTCAGACCCGAAGGTCATCAACGCTAAGGCGACACAATCAAAACCAAAGT